TTTCTTTATGTTTTTTATTATTTTTGAATGACCAAAGTAACCTCATAAAAAAAAATTGAAAGTAGTCTTTTTGCATGATATATAATTTGGCAATATTCTTACTGAACAATTAAAATTGAATTTAATGTTGAAATAGATAAAAATATAAGTAACTGCCATTTTTTTACATGGATAAAAAAGTTTTTGTTTTACAAAAAATAACTAATTTTACAAATGTAAAAAAAAGTTACTACTTTATGAATTTTATAGGTATAATTAGTAATAGTTTGTTAATAAAATGGAACCTTGTGGATTTGGAAAAGCTTTATTTGATGACTGTCACAAAATATTTTTTGTACAAAAACAAGGTTTAAAAGATTTTTGTAACCTAGAAAAAGATTTTCAGAGTTTTTATATTTGCTTAAGACTATATCATACAAATAGCATAAGACAGTGTGTTATCATCACAAGCAGGTTTTAGCACTGATATTCATATTAAAGAATGATAAGTGTTGCAATGTTTTAAAAAGATGCAAAAAGGAGGTTAAAGGTAATATATATATTATATATATATATATATATATATATATATATATATATATATATATATATATATATATATATATATATATATGTATATATAATAATAGTATACAAAAAATATAGTTTGCTTATTATTTCAACTAGCAGTAAGCAACCCGTAATACGCGTTGTTAGTAAATAAAATTAAAAAAAAAAACCTTGTATAGAAACTACTTTAAAATAGAAAAGCCTAGAAAATGACGTAACTCAACTAATATTAAATTAGCATATTCATATTATCAGATTTAGAAGCAGAGCCTAGTGTTTTTTAATCATTTATGATTTTATTTTATATTAAACAGCCATATTTCTTGAAATGACACATAACCTCAAGTAAAAAAGTATAGACTGTAAACCAGGATGGAAATTTTGCTGCTCATGTATTCAATTTCTGTCAAATTACATTGAAGTTTCAGATAATGCTATTGATGGTGATGTAGCATTTATGAAAGGTAAATCTTATAATAAACAACAGTTAAACAATTCGTTATCATTAATTGGAGTCACACCAATTAAAGTTTATGGAGTTGTAAAACATCAATGAGTCATAACAGCAAAAAGAAAATTAGCCGAAGCCTACACAAAAATTAGTCTAAGCCTACACAAAAATTAGCCGAAGCCTACACAAAAATTAGCCGAAGCCTACACAAAAATTAGCAGAAGCCTACACAAAAATGGAAGAGGACTCGCAAGTGTTTATGGAGTAAATATAGATAACTTTAGTGTAGCCCAAAATTTTTTCAGTCATCCTACTGAAAAAAAAAGCAAATGATCTTGATCAATTGACAATTTTAATGAAAGAAAAACAAGTTTTGATAGCTTAAAGGCATTTTTAGATCAGGAATTAAGTGAGATTGATGAAGAAGTAGAAATTCAATTTAATCAATGGGAATTAATGTACATTACATTCAGTTGTTATTTACTTCAATTAAATTTCTAAACCAATTATTCGGCATAAGTCATTCTGTTTTTAAAGTGATGACAATGACCATGATACATGCTTTGTGTATGAGTTTCAAATGGAAATTGTAGAGTACATTAAAGAATATTTAGTGGATATCAATAAAGTTTATTATTTCTCCAATGGATGTTCTACGCATTATAAAAACTATAAAAACTTTTTAAATCTATATTACCAGAAGATTTCCAGATGGCTGCTTAATAGATATTTTTAGCTACCAGCCGTGGAAATTTCTATGTGATAGTTTAGGTGGTACAGTAACAATAAGATGACAACAGCTACAAGAACAATTCGATATAAAAAAACTGTTATATAATAGAAGTTATATATAGAAGAAAAACTGTTATATAATAGAATAGAAGTTACCACTATTGCATACCAATTTCAAACTTTGAAATTAGTTTTTGAAAAGAACAAGTGAGCATCAATGTGCAGACAGATTTATACCGTCTAAAAGCAGCAGTTCCTAATGTTGTGGTTGTACTAAATCTAAATGATTTTATTGCATGTAAGTATGATTTTTTTTGGTGGATAGGCATGGTTACAGAGATAAATATTACTACAAATGATATCCAAATTAATTTTATGCACCCTCATAGTCCATCTTAAAATTTCATTTGACCACTGAGAGATGATGTCTGTTAGGTACCATTGATGAATTGTAGTAATCAATGTCCCCAAAACAAGATCAGGACAAATGTAAAACATTGATGTGAATAATTATATTATAATGACAAATAAATTTTAATTTGTAGAGTTTGAATTTTTTTCGGATTTTTATATAGTTTTTTTGTTTTTTGAGTTTCCAATTTTTTTTTTGAATTTTTTAATTTTTTTTCTAGTTTAATAGTCTTAGTTTGATAAATATAAAATTCATATTTTATAAGTAATAAATTTAAATTTATTAATTTAAATTAATTATAAAAAAGCACAGTCCAATTCATTGTGATAACTAAATTATTCAAAACAACTTCTGAAAAAATAAATTGAGCTTTACATCTGCATTTTTTATAATTTGACCCCCCCCCCCTCCTTCCTCCATCTTTCCAGTGAAACTATAGTAAATTTTTCAAATTTAGGATCAGACTTTATAAAACTACTAGGAAAACAGAAACAGCATGTCAATAATGAGGTAAAAGATTACTACATCTGTCTAACAACATCTGTAGAGTAGTCCAAGATCATCTGTACACTTTTGTCCAAGATCATATGTATTTTGTTTTACTCAAACAACATCTGTCCAATATCATCAGGAAATTCAATGACCCTAACAACATCCTTAGGAAGATGTAACTGCATCTGGTAATTTTTCTCCAAGTTAAAAGTGTTATCACAATTTAATGCGATAACACTTTTAAGTATTATTTTTATTTAGAATTCAAATAAAATGTTTTTGTTATTTTTATTAGGGATGCCACAAATATTTGGCAACTATTCAGTATTTGGTGTATTGGCAACATATTATATATTTCTGAAAAATGAAAAATGTCAAATTAGAAATAGATTGAAATGAAAAAAATCAAATTAGAAATAGATTATATCACTATTGGCAGAGAAACAAGTTATTTAATACAATTATTTTATAGTCAGCTCTTTTTTAAAATTATCAATTTTAATTACAAATAAAAATTAACAAAATTATTACCTTGTTTTATTATGTAAATAAAATAATAAATGATTTACAAGTTATAAAAGAAAGGTAGTCTATAATTTCTTTTTTTTTTAGTATAAATATAAATAATGGTAAATAAATCTAGTAATAATCTTTTTTTAAATCAGTAATAACAATATTTTTAATTATTAATTCAGTCTCGTTTTTTTTAGATTATTTTAGACAAAATATTGAAACTTAAATGAACAGATACACTGCGAAACAACAAAAATTATCATACTTTATTTTAAAAATCATTGATTAATTTTAATGTTTCAACATGTTTATGTGAGTTTTTTTTTAATGTAAGAACTGGATCATCAGAAGCAACAATGAACTAATTGATAATAAATTTAACAGTATCGAATTATTAACAGTATCTTAATTTTGCAAACAAATTACTTGTTGCTCATAAAACCAACAAATTATCAACAGTGGCCTAATTTTGAAAAAAAATTAGTTGGCTCATAAAAGCAACAGATTGTCAACAGTGGCTTAATTTTGTAAACAAATTGCAGGTTGCTCATAAAACCAACAGATTATCAACAATAGCTTAATTTTGCAAACAAGTAACAGGTTGCTCATAAAACCAACAAATTATCAAAAGTTTTTCAGCAAAAAGCCAAAGAAAATCTTAGTTTTATCTGCAACATTCTTATAAGTGACTTATTTTTAATTAAATAGCTTTGTCAATAAATAAAACTGCAGAACAAAGGTAGAGAAGTCCCAGAAATACTCAAGGAGACTAATGTATCCTGAAAAGTGTGTGGTTTAGTGTAGAATATTATCTGAAAGGTTGATTGTTGCAGTTGCCATAAATAGTGTCTATTATTGTATTATGGTGATCAATTTTGCAAGATTAACTGTAATATTCACAGCTGAGGTTTCTGCCATCATGCTTTCTAAATTTAACTGGACCTGACTTTTTTTAAGGATATTTAATAGAATGTTTACATAAATAAACCTTTACCACATTTCAATTTAAGTTGAATATTTAATCAGATTTTCAATAAAATAGCAACAAATTTTAGAAAAAGTTTTGAAATTTTTTTAAAAAAGAGCAGAATTATGTGAAGCCTAAAATAAACACTACTTAATTTTTTTTTTTTTTATGCATTTATACTTATATGTTAATTTTAAAAAAAGATTTCAAAGGTAAAAAGTTATAGGTAACTTAAATCTCTTTTCTTTTGCGCCACCCTGTACGTATAGCTATTAATTTTAGTCTAAATTTTAATTAATTTAAAATAAATATGTTAACTAACCTGGTACTAGCATATTTGAATGTTGTTCCAGATTACCATTTGTTCCATTATTGCAATTATTCATCTCTGTTTTTTTTTTTTTTGTTTTTTTATGTTTTTTTTGTTACTATTTTTTTAAAGTCATCGCTTTTTTATCTATAAAATAATAATTTCTGATGGTGTTTATTAGCATCAGATATCTTATATCTGTTTTATTTATCTGAGACAGTAAATTTTCTTCTGAAAATTGGTTTTTTTACCCCTTATTAAATAGGAAAGTAAAGAAATTTTGATGTAATAAATTTTTATGAAATAGTAAAAAATATTTCAAACTTAAGATAATTTTTTTTTTTTCGATTTTAAATTTATGTTAAAGTTTTTTTTCTTTACATATTTTATTTTTATTTTTTTTTGTTTACCTTTTTGTTGATCTTTTTTTTTTTACCTATTTTATTTACCTTTTTGTTGATCTTTTTTTTTTACCTATTTTTATTTACTTTTTTGTTGATCTTTTTAAGCAAAATATTTTTGTTTTAGTTTTATGCAAAATTTAGGTTTTTATAGTATATATTTGTTGTTCTAGGATCACATGCAGCTGCCTATTGTGGAGAACATCTTCATAAATATATATTAGGAACTGAAGATTACAGTATGTGGTTATTATTTATAACATCTAAGTTTAATGTATATATATATATATATATATATATATATATATATATATATACATACATATGTTTCAATATATATATATATATATATATATATATATATATATATATGTATATATATATATATATATATATATATATACATATGTTTCAATATATATATATATATATATATATATATATATATATATATTATATATATATATTATATATATATATATATATATATATATATATATATATATATATATATATATATATATATATATATATATATTGAAACATATATATATATATATAATATATATGTATATATATATATATATACATATATTTCAATATATATATATATATATATATATATATATATATATATATATATATATATACATATGTTTCAATATATATATATATATATATATATATATATATATATATATATATATTATATATATATATATATATATATATATATATATATATATATATATATATATATATATATATATATTGAAACATATATATATATATATAATATATATGTATATATATATATACATATATATATATATATATATATATATATATATATATATATATATATGTATATATATATATATATATATATATATATATATATATATATATATATGTATATATATATATATATATTTATATATATATATAATTTAGATAATAAATTATGTTGTTATAAATATTATTATATTGTTATAAGTATAAAAAGTTGTACTTATAATATTACTATAAAAAGTCTGTTAAGTCATTTGAATAGAATCATTTGCTTTCTGACAATCATTATGGGTTTTGATTCTTTTATTTTGGTAAAGTTAACAAAAAAATAAAATAAAACCCTAAGTGCCGAGACAAGTTGTGTCCATATTAAAGTAAATGTTTAAAAAAAATGTTTGGACTAAGTTTTTTTGAATAAAACTAAATAATAAATGCATATCAATAAAACTAAAATTATAATTTTAATCAAAGCTTGCCTTGTCCATTTTTTCTTTGTTCTTGGAGTCTATATGCAGAGTGCATAACTTATTTCATGCACCTTTAACTCATAACAGTTTAAGTATATGACGTCATTGTGAACTTTTTTTAAGATATCAAAGTATTTTTTGTGCGACAATCAGAAAATAATTTGTATAATTTATCATACTTGACAGTTCCTCTTACGCAGCTAAATTTGTAGGCCTCTCCAGCTTTTTTCCAAACTTCTCCATCAGATGACTTTAAGTTGACTTTGGATTCGTTGCTCCATAGGATCTTTTTCCTGAAACTTAATGGCATTTTTTTGAACTTCTAAGCAAACTCCAATCTTCTTTTCATGTCTTTCTTAATCAAATATGGTTTATTACGCACAAATCATTCTTGAAATCCCTGGTCTTGAATACAATTTCTGATTTTCTGATGGAATAATTTGGTTCCATAATTCTCTTCAGCTTGCTCAAAGCTCTTAGAAGTCTTTTTTTTTGTGGCTGTTGTTCCGACCAAATTATACTTCTTCATTATGTCGGATACTGTATTATAAGGAATTTCAGTCTCTTGCTGCACCTGACGATAGGTTTTACCCTGATTGACTAGATCGACAGCTAAATTTCTCTGAGAAACAGTCCAGTGACGTTTACCTCCAGCCATTTTACTTAAAAAAACATGAAACCTTTTTTTTATACAAATTTTTTTTTTTACTACAAAAAAACAGTTTTTTGTTATGCTATTTCACTAATTGTATAAAAGTTTGCTAAAATATTTCAACAAATTTTACATAAAATTAATTAAACTTATCTAAATATTGCTTAGTCTGATAATTTTTTTACAAGCTTATTCAATACTAAGTTTCTTTTAGGACAAATAATAAACCAACTGAAGCATGAATCAAAAAATATGAACACTAAATAACTTACTAATCCCAATAGAATTAAAATGACAAAGTAAGTATCACTATTCATTGTTTTTAGTATATTTTAGAGCGTAAATATTTTTTTTTGGGGAAAAACTTGTTTGGTTGGATAATTTTTTGAGACACTGTAAATAATACAAACTTTACAAAATAAATTTAATATATATTCTTAAATGGCCATATAATATTTTCTTATACAGACAAATAATATATACTTCGTTAAGATGTGAAAGTGTGCTAACTTTTTAATATAAAAATCTAGATAAAGATTTATACTTATGATTCTTAAAAACAAGTTGTGCTACTGAAATCTCAAAACCAAATATATTGCTTTTTTTTTAATTGTCTCACAAAAATTTTTTGTGATTTGATAAAAAGTTATGCTAATAAATATGATGGCAAAAAAAAAACAAATCCACAATGACATCATATAATGAAACTGTTATGAATTAAATGCGCATGAAATAAATTATACAGTCTGCAGATTGGGGCCTATATTATAAAGACTCCAAGAACCAAGAAAAAATGAAAAAGGTGAGCTTAAACTAGGGTTGTTAACCGGAGGATTTCGTGCAATTTCGGAAAAACAACATTCTTTCGTAATGAGATTGAGAACAAGGAATTAAATTTTTTTGCACCGAAAGTTACAAAACATTTAAAATTGCCAATGTTCATTTGGAAAAGCTACTTCCAAAATTTAGCATTTTGCAAGTTGACATACGAAACAATACTATTTTGCAACATACGAAAGTAGCGGTTTCGGAAGTCGCACTTGCGAAACAAACATTTTCGTCAAACGACGTTTTGAAGTCTATAAAGAAAATTTGTTTGCCAGACTGATTTTAATTGTAAAAATTTACATCTTTAAACCCCAAAATGTTTATAATGAATTTCTATTTTCAGTATAATAACATATTAAATTTTTATGGTTTTATTTTTAGAAAAATTGATAAAAAATAAAATTTCTTTCAAAACGAAAGTATTTTGCATCACAACATACGAAAGAGTTCTTAATGGAAATAAACTTACGAAACGTGCCATAATAAATATATATAACAATGTTTTTTGAACTCATTATGTATGGTAAAAATAAGAATGATGGGTAGGATGTGTAGGAATACATGTTTTTTTTTTTTTTTTAAAGCATATGAAATTTTTGAAACAGGTTCGAATATGCTTTAGCAAATAGTAAAAAAAAAGGCTCAAAAATATGCTTAAGCTTAAGCACATTTCTAATAAAATATACCTATTTCAATAATTTCTAAAAGTGTGCACGTTACTAAAGGTTAATGGGTATAAGAAAAATAAAAAGTTGACTTATGCTCTGTATTTTTGTTTTGGTTTTAAAGTAGCTGAATTTATGTTATAAACTTCGGTTTTTGTTGGTTTAAATTTAGATTTATATATATTTAAAATTTTTAATTAAATAAAAATACAATTTTTAAAATGGTTTATAAAGGCTCAGGAATATGCTTACATAGCATATTTTTATAAGCGTTATGCTTATAAAAAAAAAACAAGTATATACAGTAGAATTCTGTTATCTCGGTCCCTAGATAAGTAGGACTTTGGGGCTATCCATAAACGATGTCAGGAAATATAAAGGGGAGAGGGTACTAAGAAAGTTTGACAAGAATTGACAATGGGGAGGGGGTGTTGAGACCAACATGATGTCCATTTAAGAAAAAAAAATTAAAGTTCAAGCAGATTTTAAAGGTATGTAGAGTCCTGTTTGAATACGCTTCTCGAAGTATAGACCTTAGAAAATATTGCTTTTTAATTTCAATAAAATATAAATTTAAATGTTTTACTTTAGCAAAAAATCGTTTAGCTCAATCAGTTAGGAACCTAATAATTCGTTGCAAAGACCCGGGTTCGCATCCCTCTGACCGCGCAACTTTTGTTCATCATACTCTTTTTACTTAAGATAGCATTTTTTGACCTCCATGTTCTATATTACAGATCTTTCTCTGAGTCTAATATAATCTTTTCTCCTTCTTCCCTGAGGCTCCTACAGCCTATTGTGTTCCATTAAAAGTAACTAGTTTTCGAGTCCAGTTATGAATTAGAAGCAACTAAAGGTTCACATTACTATTCATTCTCCTGATTTATAGAATCCTATTTGCATACGTATCTCTTTCCGTAACTTCTGTTTTATATAGTTTTTTTAATTATATAATAAATAAATATTACTGTTCAACTAATTGTATGAACGCTCATTAAGTTAAGACATAACATATGGCCGCGCAGAGCGAGGTTCGCATCCTGCTGTATCACATATTTCTTCTCTTTTTACTTATTCTTGATATCATTTACCTTTAGAGAGATTTCTCGTTTTTTATAATAAAGTATTTAATTGTTTATCACACATTCTCTTTATACTTTCTAAAATAAAAGGCATACACGTACACATGTCCATCAAAGCTTAATCATACTATGTCACTCGCGTGATAGTCATTACTTTTCTTCTTTTATATATTAGTTGCACGCGCTCCCTTACTTTTTAGTTTTACTTATTTACTTGTGAAATATACGTAAACAATTTTTGAATTTTAATATAAAGTACTTTGCTTGAAGTTTGTGCTTTTTCATTGGACATCAGTCCAACATCTTTTTAAATCTATTTTTTAATGCTGACTTTAATATAATCTTTTCTCTTTCTACCCTGAGGCTCCTACGGCCTATTGTATTCCATTAAAGTAACTGGTTTTCGAGTCTAGTTATGAATTATTAAGATTGTAGATGTAAATACAAGGTATTTACATCTACAATGTGGTATAAAAATAGCATATTTGCTTTGTGGGGAATTCAATGTAAGTTTCCTAGAGATATAAATTAAAAATTTACCAACGTTTTACTATTGTATTACCATTTGACTGAAAATCTAACTGTTTACAAATATCAACAATTTGTATATAACAATCATTATTCGATCCCAGCGGATTTTAAAATGTGCTTTAAAGCAAACACATAAAGTCATTTGTCATTATAATCGAACAACTCATGGGAAGACGATGAGTGATTGAGTTTATATAATAGATATAGAACACAATTTTCAATAGTTTGTTTACTATTTGATGAGGTATCAACTGTTCAATAATATAATATGCTGAGAAATAAATGTATAATTTAACCAGAAAAAAATTAACACATATCTTTAATGTTACTTGAAGGAGGAAGGGGGGTGGGGGTGGGGGACAAAATCTGACGTCATATATAAGGGGGGTTTATTTTATATATATATATATATATATATATATATATATATATTAGGGTCGCATTCAGCAATGTCGACCTAACTGCTGACCTGAAAGTGTTTGAGTTGGCAAATAATTGCCGACCTCATTTCTATGTTTTATGGCCAGACCTTTGTATCAAACAATTTTTGGTGACCTGATGCCGACCTCAAAAAGATTGAGGTTGGCAAATTATTGCCGACCTCATTTTTCCTAATTCTGAGGATTGGTTACTACAGAGGTTGGCAGAATATTATTTCACTTTTAAAATGTAAAATTTATCACAGAAAATTTATAGCAAATAAAAAACTGGCTACCTCTGTAGTAACTGTAGGTCTAATCAATCAATCTTTGTGGACACCCAAAAGGAATGATCCAAACATTTTTTTTATTAGTTATATATCCCAAAAAGTCAACAAATTGTTTGTAATCATGAAATATTTTGACTCAGTCAAGAAGCAAGTAGTTTTTTTAAAAGAAATCATACTAAATAGTAGCAAATTCAGCCTTACATTTGATGAACATCAGTTTAAAACACATCTGTTTAAAACAGGAGATACATGAACTTTAGTTATTTATTAAATAGTTTTATGAACTACTCCTGAACTTTAAATGTGAGTTTTATTATTATTTAGAAAATAAAAATTATGAAAAGAGTTCAAAATAGTTCATAATTTTTTCAATAAATTTTTTCCAAAATTGTTCAAACCTGTTTAGGCTTAAACTTTACAAAAAAAGTTCATATGAGACCCAACAATTATGGTAGCCATAATTGTTGGGTCTGTTTCAACCTTCAATTTTGAGTTTTTATTTATTTGCTTTTTCTCCTAACTTTTTTTTTAAGTACCATAAAATAGAGTAAAAAGATTTATTATACTATTTATTTAAATTAATTTTTATTAGTTGAATTTTAAGGTTTTAAAGAATTTTTTTTTATATAATAAAAAACATTTTAATAACAGTGTTAATTAAACACGAATTCACTCAATGGATTCAAGCATCTTGTAGAGTTCTTACAAAATTTTTTTTTAAAAGTCAACCTCAGTTTAAATCAAATACATTAGTTAACTTGCTATAATAAAATTTTTTATTGCAGTTGAATTATTTTTTAGAGTTAGGAGATTATGTGAATGCACTAAAAAGAGGTTTTCTCCAATGTGATAGTGAAATGCAATTAGGTGAGACTTTGATGCATTTGGATACATTGTTAATGTAAACATAAATATCAATATATTTATTGTATTTTATAAATATATTGCTTATATAAATAAATTACATATAATCTACATATATATTAGGGTGGTTCTAAAAATATTTTTAATTGGTGGCTTAAGTCCTTAAATGTGTTCTATGTAATAAAATTGACTTTTAAATTTAGGGTAAAAAGATTATTTTTAGGCATCTTTAAACATTTGATGGGCTCCTAATATTATCCAAAATAAATTTTGATAATATAAAGAGCCAGGTTGATATACTTTAAAAGTATATCAACCTGGCTTTGAAATATGCAAGGTTTAAAAGAAAAAAATCATTTTTTTATAATAATATGTTGCATTGTAAAATGCATATGAGTTTAGGTGCAATCAGACACAGGTTTTAAAGTTGCTATTTTTAACAGCTTATATTAAAAAAAAAACTCTCTAAAAGTAATTATAAATGTTTTTAATGACCAAATATTTAGTAATATTATAATTTAAAATAATCAAATTTTAAAATAAGCACAGTTTAGTCGCCATTTAACTTTGATCATAATAGAATAAATAGTAAAAAAGCATAATTTTAAATTTTAACTTTTTTTTTCCTTAAACAATATTTGTTGACTAGAGATTCTTATCCCAGAGGTCTTTTTCAATTCTGGGGTTTTAGAATCAGTTCACTCAATGTTTATAGCTGTTTTTAGCACACAAAAATTAATAACAATAACAATGTTGATGCGACCTCATCTACAGTCTGCGCCAAACTAATAGCACACAAAGTAAATATAATATATTTTATTCATTTTTTATTACTAAAGTTTTCATTACTAAAGTATCTAAAAGTAGTCATAATCAGAAAAGTATTAAGAAACATATCGTTTATGGCATTAAATGTTTTTGCACATTAAAATATGGTAGACCATATGATATTTTCTGGTGACAAACAAATAGCACATTTGTTTAACCTGCTATAACTCTGAATGTCTTTCCAACATCTGTGATAGGGTACAATGTGGTATGTTAGTTCGCTTTTTTTCTTTGATATGTAACCTTATCAAGGGTTGAATTAACGCATCGCGATTTGCGATATCTGTTAAATTATCTGGTCTTCAAAGTTTCAGTTTATGGAAAACCACGAAATTTACGGAATAGGCAAATAAACTTTAATTTGTTAGTGAAAATGTTATAAAAAACAAAACAATAAATTTATGACTACAAAAGTAATAATACTACAGTGTTGTTACTTTTATAACACTCTTTTATGTTACATTTATAGTTTATTGTTTGATCAAACAACACCTAATCAAGACATTATAAATAAAAATGATTTAGTTAAGTAATTCCAAACTTTAATTAAAGTAGTAATGCATCTAAAAAAAATACAATGGATATTTAAACAATGTTAAAAACCTCAGCAACTTTTACGAATACATATTTTTATAAACAGTTTAGCATTTTTAAACATCTTACTAACGGTCCGGAAAAAACGCGCGTTCACTTTAAAATCAACCAATAAAAACACTGGTAATTTACTTCTTAGGAGAAATCTATATTAAAAGGGGAGGGGGGAGGCTATAAACTTAAATTTTGTTTTATTATTTAATCAATTAAATCATAATAAAAGTAAAGACAAAAAAATATATTTCTAAATATACTACTTTATAACTAAAATTTATTAAATTGAACACCTCTGTTTTTAGTTTTAAGTAAATGTCAGTACTACTCTCAGTGGCGAAACTGCGGGGGAGGGGGGCTTTGGTTAACAGACAAAAAGTGTCCTGATTTTAATTTAATTTTAGGTTGCATGGGCGATATGGGGCTGATTTTGAAAATCGTGTTATTTGTTTATAACAAGTCACTTGTTATAAACAAAAAACTATATCTCAAAACAAAAATTCAGTGAAAATTGGCCTTAAAATTAAAAAAAATATATATTGGTAACCAATAAATAATAAAACTTTCATTGTAAATCCTCTCGCTTTTTTTTATTATTTACTCCTCCTATTTTATATATCCTGACTAAAATTCCCACCCCCACCTACCTATGTATTAAGCACATTAGACACTTTTTGTCTGCTACCCCCCTTCCCTCTGCAGTTTCGCCACTGAGAGTAGCACTGACATTTACTTAAACTAAAAACAGAGGTGTTCAATTTAATAAATTTTAGTTATAAAGAAGTATATTTAGAAATATATTTTTTTGTCTTTACTTTTATTATGATTTAATTGATTAAATAATAAAACAAAATTTAAGTTTATAGCCTCCTCCCCTCCCCTCCCCTTTAATATAGATTTCTCCTAAGAAGTAAATTATCAGTGTTTTCATTGGATGATTTTAAAGTGAACGCGCGTTTTTTCTGGACCGTTAGTAAGATGTTTAGAAATGCTAAACTGTTTATAAAAATATGTATTCGTAAAAGTTGCTAAGGTTTTTAACATTGTTTAAATATCCATTGTATTTTTTCAAGATGCATTACTACTTTAATTAAAGTTTGGAATTACTTAATTAAATCATTTTTATTTATAATATCTTGATTATGTGTTGTTTGATCAAACAATAAACTATAAATGCAACATAAAAGAGTGTTATAAAAGTAACAACACTGTAGTATTATTACTTTTGTAGTCATAAATTTATTGTTTTGTTTTTCATAACATTTTCACTAACAAATTAAATTTATTCGCCTATTCCGTAAATTTCGTGGTGTTCCATAAACTAAAACTTTGAAGACCAGATAATTTAACAGATATCGCAAATCGCGATGCGTTAATTCAACCCTTGCTTATAGCCTTTTTTATTTTATTTTATTTTTTTATGGAAAAAGTTTGATCCTAGACTACACATAAATAATATTATTTAAAGTTCATATTAGGTTTTTAATAAATTTTGATTTGCTTTTGTTAGGTTTTCTGATGGGCTAATGTACCCTGCATGTATTTTGGATTAGGCTTAGATGACTAAACATAGTTAATTGCCTTAAACAGTACCTTATAAGAATTTTTATTTTAAGAATTGTTATTTACTTTTTAAAGTATTTTATTCTAAAACAATCGAAATAAACAATTTTGATATAAAAAATGCAATTGCAATAGCAGACTGCAATAAGCCTACCAGAACATACTGATCAGATAATTTTTTATTATCAGGTAAGTAACTATATAAAAGGGTTCTGAAAGTCTCCTAAAAACAAGAATTTATAAAAAGAGTTTTTAATTTTTTATATAATCTCACACATTTTGAGATCAAAGTTGACGTACTTTTGAAGAAATATTCAAAATATAATTTTAATAATATTAGGGTCTCGTCAAGTGTGTAAAAATACAACCCTTTAAAATAATTTTTTTGAGGTTATTTAGTTATCCATTTTCATTATATTATGTAGAACATTTAAAGATTGGAGAATACCAATTAAAATTAAAATAAATTAAAAAGTTATACATTCTAAATATATTTTAGTTTATAAATGCATTAGATTTAACATGAATTGTTATAAATATGTTGTATAATATAAATATATTGTCCATAAATAAATCAACATATCTTGAAGCGTAAATAAATTATTAATTTTTTAAGAGAACTGATATATGATCGGTTCTCAAGAAAAACTCACTAAAAATGTTTTTGCAGGGAGTAACTTTTATTAATACCAGAAGAATGAATCTTCTTAAATAAAAAAAATAAAAATTAATTAAAAACACATAAAGTATAATTAAAAAAACAATTATTAATATTAAAAAATAAATTATTAGTAATAAAAACAAGTTAAAATTGATCTGTAGCAATACCATTACAACTAGAAAAAATCAAGTTACAACCATGACAAAATGTTGGTGAGTTTTACCTATGAACCGATTTACAAGGATCAGTACAGTTATTAAAAATATTTTTATTTTTTAAAGATCCTAGAATAGAAACATCTGGTGCTGCTGCTGTGTGTGTTCTAATCAAAAATAAAACAATATATTGTGTAAGTTTGTTTAACTATATGAATTTGGGTTAAACCAAGCATTTGTGATTGATATAAATATTATGGTTTTAGAACATCATCTTGCACTAGAAACTTAGGGAAAGGTGAGTTGTTTATCCTTTTTATGATTAAAAGGATTTCAAAAAATTTCATGATTTTAAACAAAAAATTATAAATAGTTTCACCAAAGTAAACATAGAAGGCAAGAGAAACTAGTTTTAAAATAAATTTGAGCAATTATTCAATAAAATTTCTGTACAAAAAATTTCTGTACAAATGTTAACATACGCAAAACAAAAATTTCTGTACAAATGTTAGCATAAACCAAACAAAAATTTCTGTACAAATGTTAACATAAGCAAAACAAAATTTTTTTGTACAAATGTTAACATAAGCAAAACAAAACATTTCTGTACAAATGTTAACATAAGCAAAACAAAAAATATTTGTACAAATGAAAACATAAACAAAACAAAAAATTTCTGTACAAATGTTAACATAACTAAAACAAAATATTTCTGTACAAATGTCAGCATAAGCCAAACAAAAATTTCTGTACAAATGTTAACATATGCAAAACAAAAAATTTCTGTACAAATGTTAGCATAAGCTAAACAAAAATTACTGTACAAATGTTAACATAAACAAAACAAAAAATTTTTAGAAATTAGAATAAAAAATATAGAAAAAAAAATTGAAAAAAACAAACAAATTACTGTGACTTTTTTCTATTACATCACATATGTTATAATTGCCTATTATATGAAATATGCTTCTTATATTTACTTCAATGTTATGGCCTACTTAAAATGTACAGCCTAATATTCTGCATTTTTGCTAAATAAATAGAGGACCAGTTCAGTACTGTGTTTCTGGTATCCAATGCCCAAATGGCTACCAAATGCTAAAACATAATGATCATAATGTATTAAAAAAAATGTTGTTTAATAAGCTTTCCATACGAGAAGTTATCGAGTGTATAATAGCTTCATGTAAAACTATTTTACAAGGGTTGTTCAAATACCCCAGTGTTTTTGTAGTGGCCACAAAGTACCTTAACTCGTATGTTTGAAAACTTCCCTACCTATTTACAAAATCAAGCAGAAAGCAGTTTCGGTTTTTGAAGAATTTGAAAAAATAAAATATCAGAAAAAAATACTGTACTCTGCTTATCTGATTCATTATGCATTATTATTGCGCTATATATCCATGCAATCTTAAAAAATGTTTATGGAAAAATTTCCATTACCATCACTTACTTTATTAAATAGAATAAGTTCTGGTAATAAAGATGCAGTAAAATTTCTGCTTGAAAATGGCAAAATGTCACAAGATGTCTGTATAATATTTGGTGAAATGTATTTACAGAAATGTGCAGTATACTCTGATGGAGTTATAACAGGTATAAGCAGTATTGGTGAACTTTACAAAAGTGTTGTTTGTTTGTTATGATAAATAGTTTCAAAGAAAACATTCCATACTTTACAAAAGCTGTTCCAGTTGTAAAGATCGATAGCAATGGGTTAAAAAATAAGACAATTGAAACTTTAAATATTTCTTTTAATAGAGATTTTGTTTTGAGAGCTATTGTGTGTGATAATCATGCAAGTAATGTTTCTGTGTTTAATAAACTGTTATCAGAATGTAAAAATGGCTTTGATAGCCTCTCAATTTATTTAACTGCAGAAAAGTTTATTTGTTCTTTGATGCTATGCATTTAAATATAAAAGTGCAAAATAACTTGCTAACTCGAAAAAGGTTTTTGTTCCCTCATTTGAGTTCATTGGATTTAAAGATGACATGATAGTTAAAGGTAGAGAAGTATCCTGGAAATTATTTCATGATGTCCATGAAAAATTCTGTCTTTAGATGCAGATTTATGTAAAGCTCCAAAACTTCAAGTTATCCTGCTACTAGTAACATGTAACTCTAAACTGTACATAAACATGTAACTGTATATAAACTGTACAATAACATATTATAAACATAGTATAAATAAACATAAATATAATATAAACATGGTATAATATAATATAATAAAATATAATTTAAACATATATAACAATATAATATAAACATAATATATAACATAATATATAATAAAAATATACTACAATATAAACATAATACATAAATAAATATAAACCTAATACATAATATATAATATAAACATAAAATGTAACAATATAGTATAAGCAAACATAGTATAAACGTTACATAAACCTGTAACTGCTAACTGATAAAATGTAACTCCAAAATGTCAGGTTATCCTACTACTGGTAACATATAACCTAGTACAACCAGTTTCGTCTTCTGCTGTCTTGTAGGCTATGCTTTTTTAGGCAAAAGCTAGGAAAAGAGAGAAGAACCCAACTCCAACATAAAACACCCCCTGTCTTGGGGTTCCTGGTTGAAAAAAGGCTAGAGATAGTGTCTCAATAAAAATACTCATCTTGGGCAGACGTTAAATGCATCCAGCTACTGTCTCGTGGAAGGGCCTTCTAGGTAAAGACTTAAGGGATAAACAGATTCTATTTGTTGACCAGCCTTGCACCCCTTCTTCATCTATTAGGCTGGCATAGATGTATTTATAATACATTGTTTCCAGTTTAGGATGTAGAATGCTGGATCTTCTTGACTCAATGCATGGGTTTTGTTTGTGCCTCTGTTTTTATGACTAGACAACTCTATATTCTATTATCTCCTAATAAGAGTGCAGTTCTAAAACTCTATTTTATGGTTCTGAGGCCAGCTAGTAGTCAGGTTTCTCAAAATCTGTGGCATTTCTCAGAGAAGCTGATTCCATCAACAGCTATTAAATATCAAATTACTAATAGTGCCATGATGCACATGGATGGAGGTATACATTTGGTGTACATTGTTGAGGCCGCATTCGGAGCTCTTTGTTACGACTTAGGGTTTATTAATAGTAATGAGGTAATTGCTTGGACTATTAATTAGTGTTCTCAGTACTATCTTTGAATGAAGTTCATTAACAAATTCAAAAATGACAAGGTACTAAAAACTATAAAACTCAAAAAACTATTGTCATCACCAAGTTCTCTAAATCTATCATTCACTCATATTTGTGGTCTTGTAAGTAACTTTTCTTCTGTTGAGTCTTATCTTATGCAAAGTTCACCAGACCTACTCGCTCTTTGTGAGACTAACATGAGTTTGGCTGTCTCATCTTGTGATCTTAGTTTGGTTATCTTCATTTAATTCCTAAAGACTCCAATAGTCACATGCTTGGCCTGGGCATTTACATTCGAGTTGAATATAATTATGAATTGATTCAACTAGTCACGTTCTACCTGATATCACTGCCAAACAGGTTAGTCTTTTGCCTGATTTAAGTATAACTCCAGCTTCTGTATCCAAAGTAATTTCTTGCTTAGACTCTTCTACAGCTTGTGGTTCAGACAGCATACCTGTTATTGTCTTGCAGAAGTGTTCTCTGGAGCTGTCATCTATACTTTCAAAACTATTTAACAAGTGCTTATAAGAGTCTTGTTTTCCATCCTGCTGGAAAGAAGAATTTGTTTTCCCTATAATAAGCAAGGTTTTTGAGTCTTTAATTAATAAACACTTAATCTTTTGTCTTGAATCTAATAACTTACTATCTGATCATCAATATGGATTTGATCTTCTTGTTCTACTGCTGATTTGTTAATGGTAATAACTGATAGGTTTTATTGTGCATTAGATAGATGTGTTAAAGCTAAGACCATTGCTCTCGAAATTTCTAAAGCCTTTGATAAAGTTTGGCATGCTGGTCTACTCCATAAGCTTTCTTCTTACGGTGTATCAGGTAACATCTTTAAGATTATTGAATCCATACTTACCAATTTTAGTATAAAAGTTGTCCTCAATGGACAGCACTCTTCTTCATATCCTGTAATTTCAGGGGTTCCTCAAGGTTCTATCCTTGGCCTTATACTCTTAAATTTACATTAACGATCTTCCAGAAATTATCACATCTAAGGTGGTAATGTTTGCTGATGATAGTACCATTTATTCTTGTCTTGATAGCCAACAATCAACAATTGTTGACATTACATTATCAATAAATGGAATTCTTGAAGCCAACAATATCTGATTGCTTGGAGGACGCATTTGAGTTTGAAAAGGATTTCACTTTCGCTACAGTATGGGGCTCACTGGCTGGTGAACTTTAACTCAGATAAAACTCAATTTTTTTTCAGTTATTATCACAATAATCTAGAGCTTCCTATATTTATAAACGGTAATGTACTCAATGTGTCATCTACCCTTCTAGGATTAACTCTTACTTCCTATCTTTTTTGTTAACCATATATCAAATCAATTGCAAAATTACCATCTGCTAAGGTTGCATCTCTCGCCACTTTCTTACTTAGGATTCTTTATCTTTATAAATCTCAAATCCATTCTTGTATGGAATCCTGTCGTCATATCTGGGGCAGATCTTTGAATGATGTCCTTTCTCTTTTAAATGAAGTTCAAAAATGCATTGTAAACATAGTTAGACCTGCAATATTATATAGATGTGAGAGTGGTTGAAGGTTGGCTGCAATCCAACCTCCAACCATTCTCACATCTTTATAATATTGCAACATAAGCCTGGGAACAACCTCAAAAGTTGAGGTTGTTCTCAGGCTTCAATCACCGTAATTTTCTGTAAAACATAATTATATGACTTCAGTATCAATATTAAAATATTTCTAGTTTGTACCATCTCTGAAAGTTACCTACCATGAACACCTAAAATCCAGGACCTGCTCATTCAACCCGCTTTATTTTGTAAGATATCAACAGAATATTTTCAAAATTTAGATAATTTTAAGCTCATAATTGGAGCCATTTTCAAACTAAAATACATATCAAAAATTCGTTATTAACAATAATGATGTCATTGCTGCTTAATATTATAAAATAACTTTTATAATATTAAGCAGCAAATTATTTGCTTAATATTATAAAATAACTTTTATAATATTAAGCAGCAAATTATTTGCTTAATATTATAAAATAACTTTTATAATATTAAGCAGCAAATTATTTGCTTAATATTATAAAATAACTTTTATAATATTAAGCAGCAAATTATTTGCTTAATATTATAAAATAACTTTTATAATATTAAGCAGCAAATTATTTGCTTAATATTATAAAATAACTTTTATAATATTAAGCAGCAAATTATTTGCTTAATATTATAAAATAACTTTTATAATATTAAGCAGCAAATTATTTGCTTAATATTATAAAATAACTTTTATAATATTAAGCAGCAAATTATTTGCTTAATATTATAAAATAACTTTTATAATATTAAGCAGCAAATTATTTGCTTAATATTATAAAATAACTTTTATAATATTAAGCAGCAAATTATTTGCTTAATATTATAAAATAACTTTTATAATATTAAGCAGCAAATTATTTGGGATGACTCTTTTTGCTCTCCTGATTCATATAATTTTCAATCTTTTAAGTCATCTGTCAATCGTTATCTTGCTTTATAAACTGTATCTTTTCTCTTCCAGTAACTTCCACCTCTTATTGTTTGCAGCTTTGTTGGTGAAGATGTTAAAAATTAAAAAAATTAAAAAAATTTTAATTGTAAATTGTAGCTTTGCAATGTTGTGCATGCTCAACAATTCCTTACTCTTTCCAGTTTGCTTTAGTCACGCTTTTTTGATATTCAGCTATTTGTGTTGTTATCTTTTTTCTGGTTTCACCTACATAAAAAGCGCCATATGTACATTCAAGTTGGTAAACACCTGGGTAACTGTTTAGAGGTAGCTTTGATTTTATTTGGCACAACATGTTAAAAAAAGATCTTCCCCAACAAAAAACTTTTTATGCCAATTTTTTGAAACTTATGCCTAAGAATAAGACTTAATATAGGAACCTGCAAGAGTATTATGGTATTATTTATGTTAATTTGTTGACAGATTTTTTTGTTACAAGAGTATTATGGTATTATTTGTGTTAATTTGTTGACAGTTTTTTTGTTGGGATGGTTTGTAATGTTTAGCAATATCTAGAAGTTGTTGCCAATAATAGCCATTTTCCGAAAAAATATTTGTTAGGAACTCAATTTCCTTTCTATATAATCACTAGAACACAATTTATAAGCTTGAAAACCTTTAAATATCCCTATTGCAATGTATGGTGATATAGACGATTGCAGTTTTACAACTATATTTGATATTGCATTCTTGTGGTATATAAAAAAGTTATATTTCTGAGTTATATGATTAGATGAAATATATCTAAGAAATTAAGTTGATCTTGATTATTTTGGTATTCACATGTGAGTTGAATGAGATTTTAAAAGTGTCAAAAATGATTTTGATTTATCAAACTTAGAAAAGGATGCATGGCAGTCATCAACATATTGTTTAATTAATATAGATGCAACATTAATGGTTAATGCTTGTTGAATTGCATTATATTCAATATATTGTAAATAAGCTTTTGAAATTACTACCATTATGAATAATCCAATCGAACCAGAGTTTTTTAAGATATAAATTTTATCATCCCATAGAAAAAAGTATTAACTTGAGCAAAGTTTGATTAGTTTGTGCATGTCAGTTAAAGTTAATTTAGTGCGCAGCTGAAGATTATTTTTATCATCATTTAAAATATCAATAATAGCTAAAACTGCTTTATCAAGTGGTGCTGACAGATATAAATATTTTACATCAAATGATACCTGAACCTTCTTTCTTCTAATACAAAAGATGATGAACTTTTTATGAACTGTTTTTTTATCAATCATTGGTTGCATAAGCTGAACAAGATACTGCGATAATTTATGTTGGGGTGTACCAAGAGTTGAGGTTATAATTTGCATTCAGTAATCTTTATCAATTTTATGAGTTTTAATGCAGCCATATAATCGAGGTTGTATTGCATCAGAAGAATAAATGTTGTTGTTTTTATGTTTTTTTAATTTACTTAATAATCGTTGAATAAGATAAAGAAACTGACTTGTGGAATCATTATACGATATTGTGCAGTTGCCAAGCAACAAATGGGTATATTATTATACTAGTTGAATCTTTAAGCTCTTTAACTGCACATCATTGATTTTTAGAAATATTGCTTTCCATTTTAAATTTTAGAAATTTAGTTAATATTCTGTCGTATTTTAATTTTTTACTCTAATTTAAGAGTACATTCTTCTGTTGACATTACATTAAAAATAAATGGAATTTTATTTTGCATTGGAATAAATTTTGGACCTAGATTTAATTTTTCTTCTTCAATTGTGATTGATTCAGTTAATAGGTTCAATATTGCAGTTTTAATAAGTTTGTTTAAGGACGATATTTTTTTTATTGATATTTTTTACTTTATATGATGTAAAGAATATATATATATATATATATATATATATATATATATATATATATATATATATATATATATATATATATATATATATATACATATATATATATATATATATATATATATATATATATATATATATATATATATATATATATATATATATATATATATAGTCTAAAGAATGAAACAATTTTGTCTAATGTTGAATATAAGTTCTTAATTTTTGTTTTGTGGAGCACTTTCCATATTGTCATTGCTGTTTGTATAATGCTTGTCCACTACTTTGCAGTTTGAGCACTTTGGGATGACACAACAAATATAAGTATATTTTGTATCATATAATGATTATGAAAAAAAAACCACTCATGAGTATTAGAAATGTGTTGTGTATGTAAGGATGCATTATGTTGTATATTACAGATGCCTTAAGTATTTGTCAAAACTGACTCAACGGAAACAAATTTTACAAACATTAAAACAAGTCTAATTAAAGATTGAATAAGACTTAGTGAAGTAAATGAACTAAAATAGTACTTAACAAGTCTTGTGTAAAAGAATAAAGTAAATGTGAAGTAAATGACTTTACAAGACTTGTGTAAAAGAAGTCTTGTGTATAAGAATTAGTTCTGCATCAATTGAGCATTATTTTAGTTCTATTCTAAGCATTCAAATAAGCTCTAACAAAAATGATTTGTGCTAGATAAAAAAAAAAATTTTGTTGAAAGAATCATAAAATAGCAAAAACAGTGAAACACTTGAAATCCAGGTTGTTATGAAGTTATCTATATAATAATATTGAACCTAGTAGTAGTCTTAGTCGTAGTAGTAGTGGCATTGCAACTGAGGTAATGGCGAGAAAGAGTTGCAGCAGCTTTGTTTTTTAAGAAAACGTGAACGAAAGTGTATGCAAATATCAAGCGGACATAAACTTTAAATTATATAACATTAAAACATACTAAAACATATATCAGGTTTTTTTTTAATTTTTTTTATTTTAACTCACCTCCTCAAGGCCGAGAAGGCCACTACAGACGAGGAGGCTACTTATTTCAGGCTATAACCCTCTCTCAACTCTATAACTCCAAAACACGAACCTTGACGAACAAGACCCCTGCGCGGAGAAACGAGTTGAGTTTTACAGTTTTACTTTTGCTTGAAAATTGCATTGGGTCAACCTCCTCTTAATTTTTGATCTACAGCATTAATTTTTGTTAGAAAATTTTTTTATATAGTTTTGGAATTTCAAGCAGCAATGTGCCAGCATTGCTGAGTGGGAAGCGCGCAGAGCTTCTGAGCAAAAGAGCCGTGGTTCAAGTTCAACCACCGGCGACCTTTTTTTTTTTTAATTTTTTCAGATTTTTAAAATACAAAGTACTTGTGAAGTTTTATAAAGATTATATAAAAACATATCTAGTGATATTATACACTTTAACAAACAAACAAAATTTTTAAAAAAGCCTAAAATTTTAAAAACATTTAAAAACAAGGGGATATTTGTTGCATATGTGTCATGATTGAGATACTTATGTTATTTTAGTTTTACTTTTCAAGTTTTTTTACAACTAAGTTGAGTTTGTGCAAGAAATATGAGTATACAACATGTTAATATATAGAATATAAAATATGTTAATATATAGAATATAGAACTGTAAAGTTGTTTTGTTTTGCATTTTAAGTAACAAAAATTAAAAAATAAAGCAAGCAATATAAGCAAGATTTGAAGTTGCCACACTGCGACCTCAACTTTTTTAAAACAGTAAAGGGGTTTAAAAAGTATGTTTATATTAGAATATAATTAAAAATTAGTGTCATCATTTGCTGATGTAATTGTTAGTTATAATATTATTATTTTTTACAATTATTTACAATTTTTAGGCTAATTGTGGTGATTCACGAGCTATTGCATCAGTTGGTGGTATTGCACAAGAACTTTCACATGATCATAAACCTAATGATGAAGGTCACAAAAAAGTTTTATGTTTTGAGAATAAAAATATTGTTTAGGACATGAAATGTTTTTTAATATTTTAAGTTCTAGTTCCATGCAAGAATATTTGTAAAGTTATCTCTGTATAAATCAATATAATACAAGTTGTAATCCAAAATCATGATCATCAATAACATCATTATCATTATTGTCATCATTATCATCATCATTGTCATAATCATCATTAATATAATAGTAGTACTGACAATAGTTGTATAATTTTTTTTCTTTAGAAGAAGCAAAAAGAATAATTGCAGCAGGTGGCTGGGTGGAGTTTAACAGAGTAAATGGTATCTTAATATTATATTTAATTTTTAAACAGATTAAAATGTGCCAATATGTTGAATTTTTTTGTATTCTGATATTTCTTTTTTAAATAATTAAATTGAAAAGAACTTTGTAGTTTTAAATGCCTAATAAGATGTTTTAATGCTTGTATGTATGTTATTAAATACATATAGCTCATTATAATGGGTCATGAATTGTTATTGATGCAGAAGAAATATAAAAATTTAGATAGTACCCAGGAATGTACTCTAATTGTAAAAAACTGGATAAAGGTTCTATTAGAAGAAAAACGTTCTCAAGAAGATAAATGTTAGATCAATATTTTAATTTAATATAACCATATCGTAATTCAAAAATAAATGTTTTATTTATAACATAAAACTGATCCTATATTAGGATGGGTGATGCTTCTTAATTGTGGGGAAAGCGACTTACCTAGGAGAAAGAAAACTTAGATATAATACCCCCAATATAGTTGTAAAGACTATCTGATTGTTAAAAATAACTTTAACCCATCCAAAATGTCATATTTAAATAAGAAAGTAACATTATGGAAAGAATTGTGACATTAACTCTTTTTCTTTCTTTCTTGAATGCTAATATATATATATATATATATATATATATATATATATATATATATATATATATATATATATATATATACAATAAATATATATATTACATATATATAAATTGAAGCCACGTTTTTCTTAATATTTGTGATTGTCAAGTTCTTAATATTTGTGAAGTTCAAGTTAAGCAATTTTGTAAACATTGGTAGTGCAGCAAACTATTAATGTTCAGCCAGCCACCAAACTCATGCTTTGAATCCCCAATATGTTGCACTTACTGTTTAGCTATGTCCTGTAAATATGATTTGGAGTGCAATCACTTCAAATGGTTGTGCTGGTTTATACCTTATACTATAAGGTAAGACTGTCAATTCTGCAAGTTATTTAAAAATTTTGAAGAATGATTTATTAATTGGTTTTGAATTGTAAAGTTTGGTATTTTCAAGCATAATTGCTGCAACTTGCAATTAGAAAAAAAATGACATCACAAGTAGATCCTCAGATCTACTAGTGATGTTGGATTCTGATTTTTGAAATTAAAATTGAAAAAAAAGCCATGATGAAAGTGTAGTGTCATAAAATAACATCCATATATTGTGTTTCTTGTTGCCTCAATGCCGCAAAGAAAAGAGGCTGTTCTTAATGTTTGAGGAGCCCATAGAAAGTATTGAAACTTGTTTTATACTGTAAAATCTTTATATTTTTGTTTATGTATGTTGTTATTTGAATTAAAATGTTTTTTTGGAATAAATGCTTATACTATTTAGTATAAAAATGTTTTTGTTCTATAAATATTGGGTGGCCAGATCTCTCTCTCATATATATACAAATAGTATTGTGTATTAAGGTAAGCAATCTGATGTCATACTGAAATAGCCTGCTGCTGGGGGCTTCAGTACATACATCGACTGACAAATAGCCTGACTCGTAGTGGAGTGCTGCTACATTGACTGAGGGTTTGGGATGGGGCAGCATTTGTTTCATTCGTCATTCTTCGTTTAATTTTCTTCTTTTTCTAAAAAGCTGTATGGGTTAAGGTAAGCAAAAAAAGTGAGCAAATGCTTATAAAAGTACGCTTTAGTAAGTGTGTATATATATATATATATATATATATATATATATATATATATATATATATATATATATATATATATATATATATATATATATATATATATATATATATATATATATATATAGTTTCTACAGTATTATTTTTTATATAGAACATATAACAAAATAATACAGATATTGAAAATTTTTTGAAAAAAAATGTTTTTAGGGGTCCCCTAAAACCCTTGAACATCATACAAGTCTCTAATATTATCAAAAAAAAAAGTTTCTTTATATTATATCAAGTTGGGTCTCAAAAGAAGCAAAACTTTATAAAAATTTCAACAACAAAAAAAGGGGTGAAGATGAAAAATGCTAATTTAAATATTAAATTTTTTTAATATTTTTCTTCAGTTTTTTCAATTGTGGGTACCACTTTTAAAATAAAATAATTCTCTAATGTTTTCTCTAGTGACTTTCTGTATTACTTGCAGTTCTGTCAAAGCAAAGACCTACAAGATGCTATTTGATGCTATACCACTCATGAGTGAACTTAACAGCTTTTTATCCCATCGAAACACTAGTACCAACAGGTATCTCATTATCCAAGCAAAGTAAAAAAATTGGCAGAAATTCACGCCAATTGTTGCATCTGGCTTGATACTTCCATCAACATACTGCAACATTTTGCTATCAAATAAGCAACTTGTGAGACCAAAAGTTGAAAATCTTTTTTTACTGTTTTTGTAATAGATTTGTGGGATGTAGTTTGAGCTTCAATTAGAGAGGTAGATGAAAATGTTAGTATATTTACATCAGTACCTATTGCAGCTAGGCTGATGATCATCATTGCTTGTCATGGCGCTGTTTTTGTTTGGTCTAATGCTGCATTAATGAGTTGATTGTCAAGAATACAATGTTTGGATATAGTATTCGATAGTTGACTGGTGTCCAAAAAAGAACTTTGTGAAAGTTTTGTAAATCTTGCTGGTCTATCAGGAATTTTTTATCTTCTTTTATCTTGATGTGACAATCCCATTCACCATGGAAATGTCAAAAAGTGTATTCATTTTGGTAGTGAATTTTTGTTCATAGCTATGTTTAGTAGCAGGTTTTCTACTTTTCTGTTTAAAAAACTGAATATACAGAGTATTTATGAGCACGTAAATACTCTTCAATTTAGCTTCTACAAAATATATTTTGCTATACTTGGAAATATATTTTGCTATACTTGGAAATATATTTTGCTATACTTGGAATATTAGCCTTGAGCCAGAAAATCATAGGTTTTTCTGCAAATGTATTGCAATGTGTTTAAATAGTTGACTTTATGACACCAATTGTTAGCAAATGACTCAGCTTATCTATTGTTGAAAGAACAAACGTCCAACAAACCAAAAAATTCATAATTGAGCATGTTGCTTTACCAGCATATGATAAATCCAAAGTAACAATTTTCTTTAGTAATTTTTTACATTTTTTTACTATAATAAATAAAAAGTGCTCAAAACAAAATAATAATAAAAAATAAAATCTCATATAGTATAAACCCACAAAATACAGAAAGCCCTTCTCCACCCCACCCCCTATGACTAATCATGCCATTCTTATTAAATTTATTAAAAATTTAATTCTGAGCAATATTTTATTTAGAAAAAGTTTACAACAAATTATTGCAAAATATTTAAAATTAGTAAAATACTTTTCAATAATGAAATCAAAATATTCATTTAGGAAAGATTTTGTTAAATAATGGGAAGGGGGGGGGGGAAATCTTGCACTTCCGCTCCTCCATAAACTCTCTATGTTGTAACATTATAATACTTTATACTATTTATTTTTAGATGTAATGTTAAAGAATTTATAGCAGCATTTTGTATGAAATAAATAGAATTTTAAGATTAGGTTTTTATACAACTTTTGGTAGATTTAATGGGACCCCAAACCTCCGAGATATGTTGTGTTCATATTAAAGAGAATGATAAAAAAAATGTTTGGGCTAAATTTTTTTGATTAAAACAAAAGAATAAATGAAACCAAGAAAACTTTTTAATTTAAGTCGAAGCTCCTCTTCTCCATTTTATTGTAGGCCTACAAGTCAACATAATATACGTTGCAATCTACAGACTTGATAATTTATTCAAGCGCCTTCTAAGAGTATTAGTAAATAATGTCATTGTACCAAACTTTTAGGAATAAATACGCCGCAATCTACAGACTTGAATAAATTATTAAGTCTTTAGATTGCAGCGTATATTATGCTAACGTGGAGTTTATGTTGTGTGAGTTTTATAAATAAATAACTTGATTAAACAAGTTTCAGGATAATTTTTTTTATAGGAAACCTTGCTTTATCCAGAGCTATGGGTGATTTTGTGTTTAAAAGAAATTCAAAATTATCTCCTGAGGAGCAAATAGTGACTGGTAAAATTAATAGTGTTTTAAAAGATTTGTTTGTGTTAAAAGTTAGTTTTTTAAAAGATTGTTAAATTTAAAATAATAGTTGCAGAAATTCTATTGTTAATATTTTGTTTTTAATCATTTTAATGTTGTTTTTTAAATTAATTTTATAGCCTATCCTGATGTGATTGTGGAAGAAATAGCTCTAGATCATGAATTTATTGTTTTAGCGTGTGATGGTATAGTTTTTTATACATTTTTTGAATTTCTTTACTTTTTTTTTTTAACACAAAAAATAAAATAACTGCACATTTATTGTACATTACTAATTTAATTAAATGCACTGAAACGTTTTATTAAGTAGGTCAGTGTTTAATGATTTGTTAAAATTGCTTGATTTTTTGTACATTACTAAATGTACAAAAAAATGTATACTAAAATTAATTTTATTATTATTACAATTAATAACTGTCATTTGTTTTTTACAAAAATTGGTTGTTGATTCTCGATAATTTTTTTTCTTTAATCTTGCCTATATTTTGCTACTAAACCTGCATTTTTATTAATTCACCCGAATCATCCTATCTTTCCTCCTATTTTCTGAATCTTTCCTCCTATTTTCTGAAATCTTCGGAATTATTAATTCACTTGAATCCTCCTATCTTACTTCTGAATTCTACACTTTTATTAATCTCTAATCTGATTTTAAACAAAAAAAACATATCCAGGTTAAGGGAACTCAGAATGCACTGGGACTTCAGAAGTTCAGGTTTTAAATAATGTTTCAATTTTTTTATTTATGCTAATTCAGCAGTTTTTGCAACTTGCTTTTTGTTATTAAATAGCAATATTTAATGAACAGAATAAGGTGTCCTTAAATTTGGTATTTATAACTTAATTATTACAAAATTAAGATACTTAATTTTAGGTAGTAAAAGTTAATTTTAAAGTTGTTTTGAGGTCAGTGACAAATATATACTTTAATTTTAATTTTTTTGTTTGTGGGTGCAAGATAAGGTAGAGAAAGAAACGGTATAGCATTTTTTTCACTCATCTCTCTAAACATTTTTTTAAATTTAATTCATAATGACCAAAAAAAAATTTGAGTGGGGAGGGGGTGTAAGGTTAAAAAATATGCTTTCTAAAAAAGATTTGATTTGTTATTTAAATCTCTCATGTGAGAGATTGTCTATATACCAAAAAAAAGTGCTAAAAAGATATGTGCGCAAAATAATTCCAATTTTCTCAAAATTGCCCTTTATAAATACCTACCATTTTTAGGTGCATCACCTAGCGTTTTAAGGTACCAATTCAGAAAGCTGTATAACAAACCTGAGTGATTATTTTAGATAATTTTTCTAAAGACAACATTAACAAATTTAAAAAAGATGTAATGAACAAAAAATCTGAAAATAAAATTTATAAACTATAATCGAAAATCAGCAAATTTTAAAGGGTTAAAGATAAGAGAAATCTTCAATGTTATTTTCATCAGATTCAAACTGAAGTCATTTTTTAGTTCCTATTTCATAAAATGGTTTAATCATTATTGGTTTTTAGTCGGCATGATAATTTACTGCATGTAGATTTCAAAACATAGCTATGTTCAGTTGCAGGTTTTCTACTTCTATATTTAAACAATTGAGCATGCAGAATATTTTATGAGCAGCATGCTCGTGAATAATCTTTAGTTTAGCTACAGACTTTGCTATAGTTGGAGTTGTAAGGCCTTGAGCCAGAAAATCATAGCCTTATCTGCTAATGTGTTGCAGGGTATTGAAACAGCAGCACAAACATTCACATATATATTCTTTCTTATATTTAAAGAATTTGCTGTTGCTGCTTGGATTTCTTTTATTAGCTTGCTCCTCATTGCTTCTTTATTAGCTTGCTCCTCTTTGGTTCTTTATTAGCTTGCTCCTTTTTGGTTTTGTCTTCCTTGATTGCTAAAATCATCTTCAATATATATTTTCCCATTTTTAAGCTGTGAACCTTGTAACTTTAACATTTTTCTTGTTCATTTCAAGTGTTACTTCTATTACAGGCAACAAATTAGGTATTTCTTTAAGTGAAGTTGATTTATCAGCTATTGTTTGTTAATCTTCAATGACACTTTCATATCAATGTTGCCATAGCGAACATGTTTTCGAGATGAAATTGTTACTGCTGTTAATGTTTGATAATTTTTATATGTTCATTAATACACAATATCTGGACATAATTTACAATTTCTGATTTATTTGATCAAGGAGCTGGGTAATTGCAATTTTGTCAGGTGTCAGATAAAAGTCAAATATTTTAACTTTTTAGAAATGTCAATGCGTCACTGTCGAATCTTGAAGAATGACCATCAGAATGGACAATACCAGGCTACTTTATATGATTTTTTTTCTAAATAGCATTCGAACATTTGATATGCACTTAAAAGTGTACTGTGATTTTGACTGCCTCTGTCTTTTTTAGTGATTAATTTCTCTATCCTCCAAAAGATACAAAAGGATATACAGTTACACATTAAGATAGTTACTGCCATTTCTTTTGTGCATTTAGGCACAATTTATAGATACAGTTCCCTGACTCATTTCTGTGATATACTTTTAATAATTTGCATCCCAATGTTCCCAAAAAAATTTTCTAATCTTCTTTGGAGTGCTCATGGAACATTTAGCAATAGCTTAATGATATGACAACCATAAAGGTGTCTACAGCTTTCAACATTGTCCTTGTCAACTCTGACTTGTTGAAACTTTGAAGGCATCTAAATAAGTTATTAAAAACAAGAAAAATTTTTCCCAATCATGTTTACATATTACCTATTCTTTTTTTTTTTTATATAAAAGACTAGCAACTCTTCTTCATCTTTGTTGAAAATTGAACAATATTCCTTCTTTTCAATTTTGATGACACCATTAAGTTGTTTGTTAATTGTACTAAGATCTTTGATTAGTAGAAATTTTCTTCAATTAATTGCAGCATGACTACAAGCCTAACCACACTGATTGCAGCATAACCACTCTGATTTGACACCTCTCAACTGATTACTCTAAGTTCTACCTGAGTTTGTTCAAAAGCAAATAAAAAAAGACTTTTTTTTTTGAAGGAGAGTTAATAGTGGAATTATAGGCAAAATATTTATTTAATGTTGAGAAGAGATTAAATACAGATAGCTTTCTGTCTTTCTTTTTTTTAATTAAGTTTCATTCACCTAGTATTCTGAGCTTTGTGTGGTGGAACATAATAACTATAGAATATAAATGAACAAAACATTTATTAATATATTCAGCAGGTAAAATAAAAATTTTAGGCAGAAGTGATAATCGAAGCCAAAATCAGCTACTATATTGTTGTTAAATATGTCTTTATTTAACCTGGGGTTCTGAGGTTTTTAATGAAAATATGTCTTAAATATTTATCTAAAGACTTATGAAAGCTGTAACCCAAAACTTATTTAGAAATAGAAGTATTTCAATAACTTTCAAGTGTTCAAATACTTTGAATTTAGCAGGTTCTTAAAAACTTTTAGCATTCTGATATTCCTTTACCTGGATTGGCTGACTCTTCAAATGATATTATTGTATAGGCATTAATGTTTGATGTATTTTGTTAGGAATTTGGGATGTAATGACAAGACAAGAAGTCGTTGATTTTGTTCGAGTTCGCTTAGCAAATCGTGAATCTCCTGAACGTGTAGGTTTTTAACTATTTATAGAATATATATAGCAAGTTAGGCTTACATAAAGAGTTATTTTACTAGTGTATATTATTTAATTACTGTATATTTTTGCCTGGTTATTTCTAAAAAAGTGTTTCACTAAAATTTTTCTTGCTTCATTTCAATATTACACCAAACAATTTTAGTTGCAGATCAACTAATAAAAAGTAAAATCTTTAGGAATAAATTAAAAATATGCATGATAAGCAATAGCTTTTCTGTGGATGCAAAAACTTAGTATTTTATTATTTCTATAAAAATAACTTATGAAAATGTTAGTTTTTAAGTTTCTGCTTTATAAGCACTTTCTTCAATTGATAAATATGCAACTAACTATTGCTATGCATTTTCAATTAACTAACTGTTGCTATGCATTTTGAATGATCCTAGCAACCATAAATTAAATTCATTTTATCTTTCATGGTTTTATTTTTTGCAAAGTTAATAATTAATCAACTGTGTATTAAAGCTAGATGTATAAAATAAAGTGTTAAAAATAAATTTAAAATAAAAACAAAAAATTATAATTTTTTTTTTAACATCACTTCTAACAAGGCTGCAAGCAATCACTATTTGAGTTGGAAGTTACTGGATGAGAAAAAATGAAGTTTATAGAACAAGATAAAGATTGACAGAAAAAATTTCAAATTGTGTGAATCAGGAAAACAAGATAAAGGAAGAAAGAACTAAGCATGGCCATTTGGCGGTCCGTTAAAAACCGTTAATTTCCTATGCATTAAAAAAAGTTAACAAAATTTCTGTTAAAATCTGTTATGTTAAAATTTACTAACGATAATTTTCCGTTAATGGCCGTTGACATATTTTAATAGACGTTAAACTCTGTTAACGGCTGTTAATTAAAAAAGTCAACTTACTGTAAATCAGCTAAACACACTTATTTTTAATAAAAAAAGTTATTTAAATTTAAATTATACATTTTAAACTTAAGTTATAAGTTTAACAAATGTACAAAAATGTTTTAAATTTTTCATTAAAGCTGTAAAACAATATTTTTATAAATTTATATTATAAAACTATAAAAATATTTACATTTAATACATTTATAAAATAATCTTTTGAAAAAAGTATAAAATTTTTGCTTATATAAAATTTTTGCTGATAATTTTATATAAATTAATAAATTTTATAAAACCTTTAGTTCGATAATCAAAATGTAAATTTCGAAATTTTTTTTTGCTCCTTGTCTTTCATTCAACCGAACGTTGATTAAATGAAACTTTATTTTAAACAACTTAAAAAAATTATTTTATATAAAACTAATGAAATTAACTGAAATTAACGGAATCAACGGAAATTAACACAAAAATATCATTCCGTTAAAAAATTTTAATGGAAATTTTCCCTTATAACCGTCTGTTAAAATAACTAATGGAAACGGAAAGATTTACCAGACAGAAAAATCAAACGCCCATGCTTTGAAAGAACTGATGATTCCAAAGAACTGATGTTTGAGGAAAAAAACTGGACGAATAAGAATTTTTTGAGCACTTAGAAACAGTCACAGTAAAAGGATAAGAATTTATTGAATGACAAGTAACATGAGAATGAATTTTGATGGCACAAGAGATGCTAGCTTTTTAGAGTAGTGCCCATTATAGTATTTATAGAAAAGAGAAAAAGAAGCAACATTATAACAATGTGATAATGGTTGAAGGTTGGCTGCAAGAGCAGGTCCAACTATGTTTACAATGTGTTTTTGCACCTTGTCTAAAATAGAAAGCGCATCATTGGAAAATTCGCCCCAGATATGGCAACAGTATTCCATACAAGGACAGGTTTGAGGTTTATAGAAATAAAGAATAGAACTTTGCAAGAGATATGACTCAACAGAAGAAACGTTACTTCCAAGACCACAAATATTAGTGAATGATAGTGGTGATTTTTTTTTATTTTATAGTTTTTGGTTTTTTAGTCATTTTTAATTTTGTTAAAGAACTTGATTCAAAGTACAGATTTTACTCAGTGCACTATTTAATAGTCCAAGCAATTGCCTCATTATTATTAATAAACCCTAAGTCGTATCAAAGGGCTTTAAATGTGACCTTGACAATGCACACCAAAAGTACAAACAGGGACACCATCCATGCACAACATGGCACTGTTAGTACTCTGATATTTTACAGCTGTTGGTGGAATCAGCCTCTTTGAGAGCTACCACAGATTTTGAGAAACTTGACTACCAGCTGTCCTCAGAACCATAAAAATGAGTTTTAGAACTGTACCCTCATTAGGAGATAATAGAATAAGTTGCCTAGTCATAAAAGCAGAGACACAAACAAAACCCAAGCAAACTGTTAGCCTAATTGCTACCTTTTTTTTAACATCATACTATCCAGCTTACTGGAAAAGTTGTAAGCCTAATTAACACTATGCAGTAAATTTCCTAATATTCTTATTTTATATGATCATAATCATTTTTTCAAAACAGGGTGAGAATGGCCAATTTGGGGTGACATTGAACACAACATGAAGATTTTATTTTTTAGATTATGGATAGAGTTAGTTTGCAAATGGATTTGTTTCTAAGCCTTGATTGTTCTTAAGAATATCTCAAATGGATTCGTTAAGAACCATTATATTGTCTTCACCACCAGGTTCTTTATTTTTTCCTGGAAGATGTTTTATCACCCCAGTTTTGTTTATCCAGTCAGTCATATAAGTTATGTTACATGTTTTTACAAATAAAATTTTTGTTGAACTATCAAGTCTGGTTTGTCCACCGTGTTTTTTTGGAACTTGATCCCCAAGTTTTCCTTTTTACATAATGTTTCTTATGGAATGTTATAAGTTTTAGCAGCCTTCCTTATGGTAAATCCGTGGTTTTTCACTATTTACAGCTGTTACTAGGTCTGCCTGAGTGTGACTTGTTTTATAACATCAGCTGTTCTCCTTTCTTTTGTAATTTTGAGGCAAATTTCCTAAAATTAGCAATAAAAACTTGATATAATTTGATATAATTCTTGATATAATGAAAATAAAATGTCATTTTAAATAAGCAAATAATTATATAGACACGCTACAGCCTAAATTTTGATTTTATTAGAGCAATATGTACTTAAACTTGATGTGTAGCAACTTTTATGGTGTTTTGTTATGTGGTTCTTAAGATAGATAAGTCACTTGACTGCCTGAACCACGTAACTCTTGCTGTTTATATGCGATAGAGAAAAGCTAAAAAAGGTAAATTATTTGTTCAGCCAAAAATTAGCTTCTATATATTGTATTTAAAGCTCTTCTGTGTGTGTTTCTTCACCTTTTAGTAAACTTGGTACTGATGTTCATTTTCACCCCACTGTTCATATTCACCGTGTTGACAGTAAAATTTTTGCAGCTGAAATAAAAAACCTGAAGAATAGACAAATGAGCTTGAGTATCATTTTCACAAAAAAACCCTGACCTTGGAAAGTGCTTACAAGTTTCCAACATCTTCTCTCATTGAATAAGCAAACATGTTGAAAACTTGCATGTACATATCTTAAGGGGCATCCATAATCCTCCCTCCCCTCTTGTACACACTTGTATGCTTTCAAAGATCCCCCTACCTTTCCTCCCTGTGTATGTTTGCATTATTTATTACAAATTCAAGCTGACTTAAATATATCAAATATGTTATCAAATACAGGCATGAACTCTGCTTCCACACTTTTATTAGCCATCTCCTCAATGATATCTTCACTTGTAATAAAAGATTCAATCTCACTTACAAATAGTATAGTTTTGTATTTTAATCCTTCTTTAGGTATATCATGTAGTAAAAGGCGATGTTTATATAGTGAAATATAGTTTTATATATAGAAATATAGTATATAGAAATATAGTTATAGTATAGTATATAGAAATATAGTATAGTATAGTATAGTATATAGAAATATAGAAATATAGTTTATATAGTTTATATAGTTTATATAGTAAAAGGCGATGTTTATATATTGGTTGGTTTGATACGTTTTTAAAATATTGAGATGGTACCATTGCTTTGTAACCATTCTTGCAGTATTCGTAGATGGCCGGAAATAGAATGAAATGTTGGGGGAAGTTTTTCAGCCGGTTTGTTTCAAACAGTTTGCAACATGACTTCTATTGGCTTTTTACGATTTGTAAGCTGTATCGCGATTGCTGACAATGTTTGTTTGCCCAAACAGGATCAGGAATTGGCAGTTCATATGCTTTCCCAACTGGTATAGCCTAGCAATTAACAGGATAACCGTCAATAAGGGTTTTCTTCCAAACTTGGGTTAAAACGTCAGCAGTTTTTTGAAAGTTTTCTACCTCCAATTTGTAGTCGATTGTTTTTCCAGAGAATCAAGGTGATTGCCAAAAAAATCATAAGGAACTATTCCAGCTAAATCACAAAAAAAAAGGTGCCATTCATGTTTCAATGGGGTTAAAGGCCAGCTGCATTCACACCATGAAAAAAGACATCTAAATTAAGCAAACGAAAGAGGTCAATGGCAGTTGCAAAGGTATTAGGGAAGCGTGGTGCCTCATCCTGAGCTCCATCAGTCTCCATTAACATAATTGGTCTATGTTTAACCAACTTGGTTTTAAAAAGCTCTTTAACATCAAAAGCATGTGTAATAGCAACTGATGTATCATGCTTTACACTTCTTATGAAAGTGTCCCCATTGTAAGATACATTTCCAGTTTTGTTAACTTCGCATACGCCATACGCTAATGGGATCACTTTGTGCTGTGGCCAACGACAAAATTGTGATCCATGAGTTTGATCTTGTATTCCATATGCATCAGCATCCCAATGGGTTTGCTGCAGCAAGACTGATTGGGACCCTGCTTTATCATTGTTGTAAATAAAAAGCACAGCTTTTGGTCCAAGCAATTTGCAAACTTTAAACATGTCATTAATGAATGATTCGGCAAACATTATATCTTCATTTTTTTTTTTGCATTGAGTTTTCTGTACATAATAGCTTTACTGGAACTGTGTTGACATATT